AACAGTAGCACTGGGAAGAGGTGCATGCGCAATAGCAACAGAAACATCTGATGCTCCTGCAACAAGATTAAGTGAACTACATCACTTGAGTTAAAGTAAAACAAAAGTACCACTAATACTTTATATTGCACCACATTATACAAAATGATTATCACAAACGGTAAGCTTTAAACCAATATAGCCCATCTCAGCCTTCAGAATAAATTAGTACTTCCCAAGCCTAATATGCATGCAAAAAGATTATTATGGTCAATTGACATACCATGCGATGGTTGTTGCTGATGAGCACCATTCAGATGAGAATCAAGGCCAGCACCCGCGCCACTTACCCTAGGTTGCCCTCCTTGAGCATTATAATACTTCTTGTTGAAACTAAAAGAGACAAACAACAATGGGTATCCAAGAATCACCAGTAAGTATAGAAAAACCCTAGTTTTTTTTTTACAAAACGATCAATTTCACAAAATAACCCAGAAACAAGCATAAACTCACCTTCTATTAGAAGTCAAAGATGGATTGGAGGTTGAAGAAATAGGAGGAGGGGCGGCGCCTCCGCCACCGCCACCACTTCCTCTACCGCCGCGGTGCTGATAAAAGCTACCGGATCGGCCGGTTCTCTTGTACTGAGACGACTCGCGAGTGTCAGCCCTTGATTGATTGTGGGACATAAATTCAAACCCTAGAAAACAGCTTTGCTGTGTGTTTTTCAATCTCTATCCTACAATACAACAGATCCACCAATCAATCAATTAAGAAAAGTAAATAAAAATCAGAACTTTCATCATAAATCAACAATAAGAAACCCCAATAACCAAAATCAAAGAAACCCACTTCAATACAAACCCCAATAAACAACCCCAAACCCGATTCTCGTGTTTCTAACCCGACCCACCCACCCACTCAACAAACCCTAAAAACAGTAATACTCACAGTGTGTTACCTGACAAAAAAAGAAAAGTGTCGAAACTAGGGTTTCAATGACAGTGACGATTGGTGCAAACCATTACCACAGTGCAAACGAAAAGTGAGGAAGAGGAAGAGAAGGAGAAGAATGAGAGGAAAATGGGAAAAAGGGTATGTGTGTTGTTGGTAAGGGGAAAATGTTTATGTTTTATTAGAGAGAGAAAAAATCATTTATGAGTAAATATTAAGGAAAACTATCTAACCCAAAAAGGTATATTAATACAAAACTTCTTTTTTGTTAACAAAATTGAGAAAAAAAAACATTTACTCAACTGATTTAATTTTTTTCGTAAAATAGTCTCTCTATCTTCAAAGTACGTATAAAAATAGGTATGATATTATATTAAGCAATTGATTTAAATTTTTTCCTCAAAGATAACGGATAAGACCGAATATTATATTATACATATTAGGCAATTGATTTAAAAAAATTCGAAAATAATCTCTCTACCTTAAACATATGGATAAGAATGAGTATTACATTAAGTAAGTGATTTAATTTTTTTCATAAATTGTCTCTCTACCGTCAAAGATACGCATAAGAATGAGTATTACATCAAGTAAGTGATTTAATTTTTATCGTAAATTGTCTCTCTACCGTCAAAGATACGCATAAGAATGAGTACAATTTTATATTAAGTAATTGATTTAAATTTTTTCGAAAATAGTCTCGCTACCTTCAAAGATATGGATAATGATGCGTACAATACTATATTAAACAATTGAGTTAAGTTTTATCGAAAATAGTCTCTCTACCTTCAAAGATACGGATAAGAATGAGTACAAATGTCATATTAAGCAATTGATTTAATTTTTTTTGGAAATAGTCTTTCTACCTTCAAAGATTATGAATAAGAACACGTATAGTATTATATATATCAAGCAAATTGATTAAAAAAAATCCGAAAAAATATTAAGTAATTCATTTAAATTTCTCCAGCAATAGTCTATGCACATTCAAAGATACAAATAAGAATGAGTACAAACTTACAGTATTATATTGAGCAATTGATTTTAAAATTTTGGAAATTGTCTCTCTATCTTCAAAATTATAAGAATGGGTACACGCCATACTTTCAATATTCTATCATGTATAATTATATTTTATATGATATTATTTTATTGTTGGCTAGATATTACTTTCAGCGCCCATTTTGTAAAAAGTGTGACACGTGTTACTATTAATAATAATCGGTCTAATGCATTGTTTATTTAAAAATTAGAATGAGAAAAATAACATAATATATAAACAAACACTCAATTGATCGTAACTGCCAAGTAAGTACTCCAATTTCAAGAGTATATATTAGTAAACGCATCGGGTTGGTCTCAACTAGCAACCAAACACTATATTTTGTCTTTGTAATATCTTTGAATACTCGATAATGATATGACACATGAATTTTTAGTGGTATCTAAGTAACCGTTTTGTAAGTTGGAGTGTTCAACTTGCAGAACATATACAAGTTATGATGCCTAAATGTGCATACTCAAAGTTAGAGTATTTAATTATCAATTGATGTCAAGTTTGAGTGTATATATTTATATATTATGCCAAAATATGTAGAGAAGTAAAAATTAGAAAATTTTATTCTCTTATTTGATTTAATAAGCAACGATGAAATTAGGAAAATATTTATTACAGTAGATTTTATTTTTTTTCATACATGATTTATATTAAGTAGCTAATTTTTTCTTTCGAGAACAATTAATTTATTTTCGTAATGTAGAGGTAAGATTATGTACACACCACCTTCTCAATATTTTAGTTATAAAATTATATTGAATATGTCATTATTTATTTATTATAGTAAAAATTATATAAAGCACATAGTATAATAAACAAATTACTTCTTGTCCCTACTCTATCATAAATTACGAATTTCCCTTCTTTTTTTTGTGTTGCGGATACTTTAATATGCGGTCGGATACTTTAATTAAGAAGCTGTACTTATTAGGTTAGTGCGTTAAAAAAGGGATTTTAACAGATTATGCGTTAATTAAGGGATTTAAAAATTAACTGCCACAATTCACGCATACGTTTATTGCATATGCAAATCGTTCAATCTTAAAACACTACTGAACTAAAATTTCGAATTTCAAATTTTGAAATTTTTATTTCTTGTTTTACGAAAAGCTTTGGAAATTCCAACGCTTTTTGTGGTGAAGATTTGTAATGAATATTTCCATCTTGTTAAGGCATTCAGGTATATGGGAAAGTGATGTTAGATATGAGCAATACAAAATTGATGGCATAGTGGTTGGGGAAAATATTTCGTTCGTTAATCTCAAATCAGCAGTTGCAGCAGAATTGAACGTTGATGAATCAAAAAAAATATGGAGATCAGATACGTTGTAGAAGGTAATTCATGTCCATTGTGTATTCGGAATGATATGGGGATGAAATTGTACATAGAAGTGAAGAAACAATGAGGTAGAATTTGGTATGTATCCACTATGCATTGATACATCGGATAGAAGTGATGAAGATATACATAATTTTGATGCAATAATAGGTGCAATTATGTGTGTTGAAGGTGGAAAAAGGGACACAAAGGCTCTAAGTATTGTTGAATCAAAAATTTGTGATTCTTATTACATACCAGTAATTGAGGTGGAAAATCATATATCAGATACAAATGTTTCTAATGTGGAAGTGAAGCAATTGTACAAGGATAAGGCAACTCTAATGACTGTTATGGAAAAATATAAAATTAAGCATAGCTTCAATTTTAGAGTTAAGAGATCTGATAGCAAAAGGTATGTGATACTTCAATCTTATAAAATTCTTGATTTTTTAAGATTTATTTGATATCATGTTGATCATGATACACAAATAACGTGTGTATGGTGCAATTGTAGTTGTTAGGTATCATAAGGGTTTATGCTTGATACTTTAATAATTAAGAAGGATTATTGAAATAATGTTAATAATTGAATTTTGAATGTGTTATCTAATTTGTATATCAAATATATAAAATGAGTCGTTTATGAATTGTATGCAGATTACAATTTAACTAAAAGTCTTTGTAATAATGTATGTTGTACTATTATTTTATTTATAATATTATGAATTGATACATTAAACCTGATGAAATAACAATTGTATATCGTATAATTGCAGCTACGTATTAGTATGTCATTCAGATGCTTGTTGTTGGGAATTGAAAGCGTCCGTTAGAAAAAAATACGGACATATTCAAAGTGAGATACTTCAATAGTGAACATACATGTTCATTGAGGGATAGGGTATTAAGTAAGGTACAAGCTACTGTTGGGTTTCTTAGTGGTGTGATAGCTCCAAAGTTAGTGAATCATAAAAGAAAACATACTCCAAACGATATAATTGAGGATGTTAGGGCACTATATGGAGTTGAAATTTCTTACCAACAAGCATGGCGTGTAAAAGAACGTGCTTTGGAGATGATTAGGGGTAAACCTGCAGACGGATACAAACAGATGCCAAAATACATATATATGTTGAACATTGTGTATCCAAATTCATATATACGTATGCACAAGTCGGAAAAAATGAGTTTATGTATCTCTTCATATCATTAAGGCCAATGATGAGAGGGTTTGAGTTCTGTAGGCCTGTTGTTGTTGTTGATGCTTCACATCTTAGCGGATCTTATCGAGGGACATTTGTATCGGCAAGTACACTCAATGGGGCAGATATTACATGTTGTTTATTAATTTGATTTTTCAAGATAGTAATATAACATCATGGAACAATCATATATAAAGAATCGTAATGTTATGTGTTTCAATCTGAAGGTTGTATATTGTCGTTAGCTTATGGAATTGTAGGCACGAAAAATGATTGTTCATGGACATAATTCTTCCAACACTTTAAAAATGTATTTGGTGATAGAGAACAAATGTGTGTTGTATCAGATCGAAATGAAAGCATATTGAAGAGTGTAAGTATTGTTTATCCAAATGTTCCTCATTGCGCATACATATGGCACTTATGGAAAAATGTGTGTACATGCTACAAGAGAAGCAGAACCATACTAAGTGATATTTTCTATTCGATGGCAAAGGCTTATCAGAAAAATGATTTTGAAAAATTAATGGCTAAAGTGGAAAAAATAGATGGCAGAGTTAAAAAGTATCTTCAAGATGTTGGGTATGAAAGGTGGGCTAGATCTCATGCAACTGTTAACAGGGGGAGGATGATGACTTCGAACATAGCGAAATGTATCAATGGTTTCCTTGTTGATGCACGACAACTACCTATTATAGACTTTCTGGAAGAAGTTAGAATTCTATTTGGTACTTGGAATTGCAAAAATCGAGAAATAACATCTTATTCAAAGGAAACATTAGGGAGAAGATTTGAAGAAACATTAATTATAAACGCGTCCAAATGTGTGAAAATGAAGGTACAGATTTGATATTATCAATTTTTATGTTTCTCGTTATATTGTTAAGTATACCACTTACAAATTTGTTTGATGTATCTGTAATTTTTAAATATTTGCAGGTAGTTGCATCTTCTGAATATATTTTTGCAGTGTATGAATGTGCGATAAGATACATTATATGTCTTGAGAGAAAAACTTGTTCATGTGGTAGATTTCAATATGACGAGATACCTTGTGCGCACGCAATGGTTGTTTTGATGAAGAAGAATATTAAAGATGTACATCCTTACTGCTCTTATTACTATAAACATGATGCATTAACAAACACGTATGCACTTCCAATAGAACCAATGCCAGACAAAAGTGATTGGAGAGCTCCACGAACTGTTGTGGACAATGTGGAGAGGAAGGTCACAATAGAAGAACATGTACTTTCTTCCCAAAAGATTCTTAATGGTTACTATTTTATGATGCAATAAATGAATAATGTTATGTTTTGGCAACATTATGTGATTGTCAATTTATTATAAAAATTAGATTGGTATGCTATGTGTTTCTTATAATTTTTACATCGATTAATAGTGTCAAATAGCTGTAATAGAGACAACGTTTAAAAAAGGTATCATTTGAATCAATTATATATCATATACATAATATATTTTTCTAAATTTTGTATCTACTAATAATAGAGTATCAGAAGTTGTATTTTTTTACCAATATTATATATCATATACATAAAAATTTGATATTTATGGACGAAATTTGAGCGTTCATGCACAAAATAGTTTTCTGGAAATTAAGTATAAGATATTTAAAAAGTTAGATTGATTTTAGTATAAAGTTTGTATATGATACTTGATATCTTTGAAACTTTGTCATGAAATGATAAAGCTGTATCAATTTGAAATGTTTTAGGCACCTATGTATCATAAACCTAATATTTATGTAAGTAAAAAATATTTAGTATCATCTTATAAAATATAAATTGTACAGTGTTGTGTGAACAATAAAATTATGTCATTTTAAGATACTTTAATTTTTGTATCATATACTTAATATGAGTGATGAAATTTTGTATCGGATTCACTATAGTAAAATCTGCATTGACATGTATAGTACTTATAATATAGAAAAATTAATAAGGTATTAAAATACAGTGAAAATTAATTTAGAAGCGACATAAAAAGTGTGAAAATAAAAACTCTTCAAAAATAGAATAATTAATCACTTAGAAATATAATGTTGACCTGGAGAGGAATACTACAAAACAGTAAAACTTCATATCTTTACGGTAAGTCAGTCAATAAACAACTACTCTACATTAAACAATTCATCATCTGCCAATAGAATGGAAGCAGCCTTTAGCCTTATAGGATCATCATTTTCGCTAACGTATCCAGCATTGGCCATGTCGGTACCATATTTCCATAACAGTGTTGCATATCTTGAGCGAAGAAATTCACTTTGAAAAGAAATCGATGGGACCTTGATTTCATCGCTTAGAAATTCAGCAAAAACAACTACATATGTTCCGCAGTCGCTGCAAACATAGAGAAGATACATTATAAATTTAATGAAATATGTAAATAAAGTTGGGTGGATTAAATACTGACAGGCTATCGCTATTTTGTTGAATAATGCCTCGAGCAAATTCCACTTCAAACGGATGTTGTGGACCCATAAATTCACCAGTTTTGTTGTATTTGTATGCATCCAATGTTGCGCAATCAATTCTGTCGATTTTATCAAAGAATCCACTATCATGAAGGTAGTTAGGCAGGATGATAGACAACTGTTTTATCTCATTAGATTGACTTTTGTTCCTTGTTCCCAAATTTGAGTCATAAACTCGGATTAACCGATTCCTTAAAAAAACCACAGCCAACACCCAATGAAATTTTTCGTCACAGTTGATCGGAATATATACCTCATCTACTAGATGTCATGGTAAAGCAGTAGGGACAGAAAAACCATTAATGACGTCTTTGATGGACCTTTCATATACATATACAACATCAGCTCGGGCAATGTGTTGTTATGGACTGAGAGTATCATCCGCAGGACTGTAATAGTACCTTTTGTACGCATTTTTTATATAGGTATTGAACAAGCAGTTGCATGTAGTGTATCTGTATTGATCCATGCTTCTTAGTTTTGACTTCTTGCGTAGATAGTAAAAAATTACATCTATGTGTTGCAAAATTAAAGAAAAAAGAACACAATACATAAAACAACAATATATGATAAAAATTATATGATACATGTAACAATTATACAACACAATTAGTAATCTGGTTTTTTTGAGTTACACATGTTAATTGTGTATCGTATACATAATTGTATTGTATATTATACATGATCAGTCCAACATTTTTTTGGCTGTGACATAGTATAAAATCAGTTCTTGTCCAAAGGAAATGCGACAACAAAATCCATATAATCAAAGCCAAATAGAGCATTTTTGTCTCTATATCCATCCTCTGAAGGTTTCCTATGAGAATGATTATAGCAACATAAGAATAAGCTAATACAAAATAATAGTATAGAAATAATATAAAACGAAAACTTACTTATTCGAATATGCTTTGCTAAAAAGATACATTAATAAAAAAACTTACTTGTTTGCATGCATTTTGAGGAGTCTCTTCTGTATCCATTAGGAGTGCTCTTGCATTAAAAGTGACGAAACTTGGTAGGTGATGCCACATCCTTCAAATGGAGTATATGGGCGAATGTCATCGTCTATTTTTCCCTTGCCCTTATCGCTAGATCCAAAAATATTCACATAAGGAGACTGTAAAATCTTTGTAGGGATTCTGTTACATGGAGCTGGAGTCTTTGTATCAAGATTGTGTGCAGATTCCTTGATTGGAAGTTGGGTAGGTAGCTGACTATCAGATAGAAAATCATCACTGTTGGTTAGCTGTGGAAGAATGATTACACTCAGTGGTGCGACATTAATTGGCTCGTTTGGAAGTTTGTAGACCATTGCATCTATGACTGTTTCAGTGCCAGATGGAATAGATGCCGTTTTGGAAGAATCCTACATGATATCAGTAAATTATAAGAAAATAGTACAATTTTTATACGCAATTGTTGACATTTGCATTAAACAATTTAGAATCAGACAGATGTATCAACAATTACTGAATTTGAAGCATGTCTTTTGGAGTCTTGTTTAATTGAATCAGCAACAACTTTATCACAACTCAATATTTGTGTGCAATTGTGTGACTTTATGTACTGCATCCTCCTAATAAACAAAATATTACACAACATTTCGATTTAATTTAAAAAATAATTTATTATAACAATTCAAAAGCTCTTTACTTATCATTTCCTTATTATGAACAAACTCTTCTATCGGAACATCACTATGGTGTATTGTGGGTATAACATTTGTTGAATCTTTCATAGTCTAATCCTTAATGGATGTCTCATTAATTTGTGGTTGTAAACGCATAAATTAAGATACAATTATAAAGTATCTGTTACTAGTGATTCAAAAAAAAATATAGTATCAACTGAGATTTAAGTGTTTATTGTACACCAATGATACTCAAAAAGACGCTGAAATTTGTGTTTACTGTACACCAAGTGTTTTCGCATATATTAAGATGCAAAATCCTTAATGGATGACTCTTCAATCTATGTTTGTAAAACAAAATATAAGGAAGGAATTATAAAGTATATGTGACTGGTGATTCAAAACAAAAAATATAGTATCAAAAGTGATTTAAGTGTTTACTGTACAACTAATGATACACAAAAAGCCAATGATTATTTCATTATATGAATTAATATTACTAAATTATCAATCATTTGTAAACGATACATTGTTAATAATTTTAATGAAATTAACTAATGATTGAAAGTTATTAAGTTATATAATTAAATTTAAGTATCACATGCATACCTTTGCAACATTTTCTTCGTTAACAAGTCGTTGTTCAACCTCCACAACAGATGCATCACCATCGTGATCAACAATTGCAAAATCCATTTGTATAGGTGAAATAGGTTGTTGGAATAATTGATCAGAAGCAGATTCTAGATCAACATTACCTTTGTCTACTGAATTATCCACTATATGTGGCATAAAAATGCCACCAATGTCCTTCATGATGAAAAAAATAAGTATAACACAAAACTAAAAAGATAATCTAAAAAATGAAAATACTACCTTATCACTTTTGTTATCTTTCGCGGCAACTGCTTTCATTAACTCAGAATGATATTTTATAATTAACGCCTCAAGAGCTCCAATTTTTTGGTCAACCTGGATTCAAATTAAGCATAGTAAGTGAGATTATAAATAACAATGAAAATGTTTAAATGACATAGTTATGTTTACTTACATAAGACTTAATGTGACCCTCAAGATCCTCAAGTCTTGCATTGTCCGATGATGTTTTTCGAGGAACTGTATTAAGATGAACACCAGATACATTATCAAACTTTAGGGGTTGTGAAATCGGAGTTTGAAATGGCTGATTCTTTTGCACGTCTGGTATTGTCTTTAGCACATTATTCTTTGTTGGATGTGCAACCTTTCTTCTCTTGGGGGTGGGGTGGATCCTGTGGTAGAAAGGCGTGTGCATCTCCTTAATATTTACTCCAGAGGTTTTGATGAAAACTCTTCAAAACCAGAAACATCGTCTGGTTGCACCTCTTCCTGATTAGCAACTGATGTGGCTGGCAGATTTGGAGGTACATGACTATTATTTGGTAAATCAAGTGATTCGAGTTCCTCTTGAGTTGGTTGCACGTTAGAACAATCATTCTATAGAAACAAAAATTAAAACATCATTAGAACTATTTAAATAATGTATCACAAATAAAACAATAAAGTAAAAAAGGATGTTATATACTAATTACCTCTGTAAAGATGTTTTCCATAAACATCTCGTATTTAGGCTTTGCACCCACAACTTTCCAATTGCATACTCTTGGTATACCATTTCCTTCTCTAACAGCTATCTCGTTATGCATTGTCGACGCACATTCATATACCCAGTTATTAAGTGCGTATGGAAATCCATTCAACCGATACATTTGTTTGTCAGGTTTGTACTTTTTCCTAAATGATTTCATTAATTTCGTGAAGGCAAATTGTCCCCACGAAAACTGTTTATAGCTGCCATCTTCTACCATAAATAAATCTTCTATAGGAATTGGTGCATCACTGAGTTGGGAGAAAACAAACGTATGAATAAAATACAATATAGCCATCTGAAGAGCATCATCACTGCTGTCCCAAATACCCAACTCAAAACGACTACCAACCGTCCTTTGTTTACGTTATAATTTGGACCAGGTAAGTATCGTTGAACCAGCCTACTAATTTTTGAAATTGGATATGTAAATCTTAACATTTTCGATACACTTGAGACCAGTAATAATTGCAAATTCTCTAATAGAAAATTGCAATACATTTCCTTTAGCATGACGAATATGGATTTCTTTGTCTAAATTATCA